TTAGGAGTAGTAGTCGTAGTCTCCTTGGGAGTGGTGGTCTCCTTAGGAGTGGTGGTCTCCTTAGGAGTGGTGGTCTCCTTAGGAGTGGTGGTCTCCTTAGGAGTGGTGGTCTCCTTAGGAGTGGTGGTCTCTTTAGGAGTGGTAGTCGTGGTTGTGGTCTCCTTAGGAGTGGTAGTCGTGGTTGTGGTCTCCTTAGGAGTGGTGGTTGTGGTTGTGGTCTTCTTAGGAGTGGTGGTTGCAGACGTGGAAGTAACTGACAAACATTCACTTGATAGGGCACAAATGCTCTTTTGGCTGCACCATATTTTGCCTTCAGGGCAGCATCCACACGTTGCCCCGTTCTGGGCCGCGTTAGACACACATTGTCCAACGTTCTTGAAGCCGCAGCTCAGGTAGTTGTCCTGGCACCACTGGGCACAACCACTGTTGCCCTGCGGATACGCACAAATAGTGCTGGAGCCTATTGAGTGACCAAGTTAGTGAAGCCCCTTGTGCGGCAGATATCAGATCTCCTTACCTAGAGCTACCAAGGCGATGTATCTCAAGAATGTAGGCATTGTGGACTTGCTGTTGCCAGTATGCCGAAAGTTACTGAAGGTTGAAGAGATGGGGCATGAATAGCAAAAGCCTTTTGTTATAAATTGCTGTTTCAGTCCGGCACCTGGACTCGCTACATTGACTGAGAACCTATTCAGCACCCAAATGGGCGATGTCCATGTTTCTCCTCACCATCCAAACATGAACAGAAGCCAAGGAACTCAACATACTCAGTGTCTGCAGAGAACTAACGACGCCCTTGCATCATTTGGCTTCGCCCAATACCTGCAGTGTCTTTGACCCGAGCAGTCTAGAAGCGCACTGTAGTGAGTCGTGACTGCCCAGTGGCCGTAACCTCTTCTTAAGGTGGATGAGGGCTCTGCATTAGTATGAAGCCAATGACTCACATCTTTGTGATCCAGTATCGCCATCGGTGGGAGTGATCGGAAAGCGCATTCCACAACTTATCATTTTGAGCGGGCGCCGCTGCTGTACAAAGTCATGGCACGTTTTGTGTGACGTGAACACTCATCCTCGTACTCAAGGATCGTATCGGTGGTATTGTCGTCGATTCAGCCGTGTTCATTGCATACAGTCGCTCTCTCGTATCTAATTTTGCTACGTAGCCTCGTTTACATTGACATGTTTTCGAGGCTCAATAGGTCCGACGTCCAGCCGGCCAGCAAAAGCAAGCGGAGAAGGCGTTGTCCATTTTAGAGCCTGGTGGCGCGGAAAGTACGCTTGAAGCGATTCCAACGTCTCTTTCGCCTAACCGAAGCCATCGAGGTAGCCACAATCAGTGCCCACAGAGTGAGAATCCTGGCACACATGCCAACGTCTCGTCCGAGGTAGCTCGCTACCGGCAGCGTAAGGTTGCGACCACTCACAAAAAGCGTGTGACGAACTCTCAAAAGATCATGCCATAGGTGTAAAGAAGACAGCAAAAGCCAAGGAATGAGAGGAAAGGCTTTTCTTGGCAGAAGGGAGAGAAGGGAAAGAAGGCCTGGGAAGGTTTACCGAATGCAAGCAGTGGTCTCAGCGAGACAAAGCACTCCATCTTCAGTTCGAGAACCCTAACTATCCAAGTCTTGTATTCACGTCGGCTCCATTACACGAAGCTGAGCGGTGCAGATAGAAAAACTTCTAACCACTGTATATTACTCCACACCCACTTTCTGTAGGCTCGAAACACATCTGGTTAGAGTGTTCGAGCTTTCATCCCGTCTCGTCCTAATGCTTTGTCCATTTTTGTTCTTTTGCGGATACCATTCGTTGTGTTTCAGACCCCGAAGTGTAAATATTGCACCTTTTAAGCTAGCGCGTCTTCGACTCGGTTTGCCGGTCACTTCTGCGGCTACGAGATGAGATGTCACTGGACAAAGAAGTAATTCCATTCATCCCGATCGAAAAGCCTGCCGGCTGAGAGATACGAGATTACGAGATCGATACCTGGGTCATCAACTCGAGGTTCCAACTGATGTCCGCTATCGATAGTATCAGCTGTTCGGTGTTACTGCATCCCTTTACAGTCCTCTCCTTAGGAGTCTCCTAATATGTTATAGATGTGTTTCGCAATCGTGGCATTCCACTTGCGTGCTTCCTAGTAATCGTCCTCTGCAATCCTTAGCGGACTTACAAATCCACTTTACAGATCTGCGACCAGTACCTGAGAGTTCTCCTGAAGCCGCAGTAGCGTTGTATGCAATGTGAAATCGATGTGCACACACAGCCTCTTTAGCTTTGTGGCTGAGCCACAAAGTGGGGAGAAAGTCAAGCTGACGTTGAGGGGCCGGTCGAACTCTTAAGGTTTGTTAGCTTGCTTCAGCCGGACTCCAGGACCAGTGGCCTCGAAGAATGCAGAAGTCAACAGAAATGATTTTAGTGCTGGAAAAAGTCGTCAATTATTGTAGGTCCATACAATCAAGGCATGGGTTGTATTCCCAGAAAGTGTTGAGTATCGTCAACCTCTCGAGCATATGTGGATGCGCCGATTGTCACAAGTTCCACAAAGCTGGGCCGCGCTGTCCACCGGCTTTGACCTCTCGATCCGGCACTAGAAGTACGTTTCCGTACGTCACAGAGGATTATGCTCAAACTGTTGGATATCACCGTGCTCCACGATCCAGGCTAGGCTTGATCTCCGATCCGAAGACGTTCGTTGACACGTTTCGGCGGCCATTTGGACCAACCGCTACCCCATCTCACGAGCTACGGTACCTTCGTAATTTTGCTTGGCGATTGATATCTGAGTGGTCGGACTGCCTGCCACCAACGAATACCTTGCAGAAGCTTACAAAAGGGTTAGGACCTTGCCCTCTGCACTCTCGACGTTTCAGGTTCGCCGTCTTTTCTATTTGTCAATCTTAGCACCGACGATTTGAATTTCGTGTCAATTATGGTCGATCGTGGGAAGTAACGAGTTGACCATCTCCATCTCCCAACCAGTGGTCGCGAAGATTCAAGTCAAGTCAGTGGCGAAGCTGACGTCTCTGGCGCTGGTCAACCCTACTACAGACTGATCTAGACAGGCGCAAGAGGGTTGGCAGGAGTGCCCACGTTTTGCTAGACAGAAAGCTCTTTCCTTACTATCAGCCCTTCCAGCATCATGCAAGTCACTCAAGATTTCGGCGCCTTTGGTAGTTTGAGACAAAAACTTGCCAAGGCAACGTCCAACCGAATGAGAAGAAAGTACGACGACTCTAAGGGAGGCACCCGTAGCCGTAACTGGAGCCTATATCTGTTTCGAGGGACACACTCAGGGACTCCGTGAATAAGGATCAAGTGCCGTTTCAAGTGCCCGGACGATGTCACGCTTGCCTCGAGCTCGGGCAAATCGTGCAAAGGGTGACTCCCTTTCACATCAAGCTCCACAAAAATTTTGCAGACTTGAAGAAATCGGCACAGAGGAGATGTGATCTGTACATGGCGTTTGTCTGGTGTCTTCAGCATATTACATCGTCCGATTTTCTTTCTCCGATCTAACATGTTCAGCCGAACCCGTATATGCATCTGTTCAACCGTCACTAAGCACACTCAATATTGAAGTAGGAGATGAGACATCTACAACACATAGGCCTGAGCAGGAGAGTTACTGATATTTCTGAACTAACGATCGAGAGGTTCAATGGTGATTTTATCCTTTGGTTTAACCCTTTGGACCCCACCGATGCGTGGTAGAACTTTCTTGAACGGAACAGATAGAAGACTTCTAACTGGTTTGTTTCTATAGGAGAATAATAGAAGAAAATAAAAAACAAGAGGTCAATGTAGAGCTAGAACTCCGGCTTCTTCGACTGAATCGTATGTCCAAAACCATGTCTCTTTTCAAATGTGGTGTCAACGTGCTCTGTGGACGATTTTCCGGCAACGTTCATGCGTAGGTCGCCAGTGGTCTTCTGTAGACTCTCATCGTTCATCTGGGCCATGATCTTAAGAGCCCGCGCCCCTACGGTAAGCCCGTTGGCTCTAATCAAGTCTCCCATAGTGGATACGACCGTCTGAAAAGAGTCCTCCGCTGTGTCGATGTTTTCGAAGACGTTTACTCAGTGCTGCTGTGCTTTGCCAACGACGTCCAGACATTGACGGGCGCTGTTCAATCGCTGTATTATTTGACTTCCATCTGGTCCGTCTGGTGTCTTTTTCAGTTCCCGAAGACCTTGCAAGTGCTCCCCATGATGCTGCTTGTCGCATTCGCAGTGTTTTTTCGATACTGAACACCTTGCGATCTCGAT